GATGGCCATTGAGATTTATGGCTTCCCCTGAGTCTAATTGCCTTGAATCTTTTTAACAGTTGGGCTAAGTGGTGCTAAGAAGGACAACAATGGCTTGGTGGCGCAAGTACTCCCTCTGTCCCTCCCTCCCTCCCCTTTCTCTCTCTTCTCTGTCCCTCCCTCCCCTTTCTCTCTCTCCTCTTTCCCTTCCTCCCCATTCCCCTTCTCTCTCTCTGAGTCTCTCTCTGCTGGGGCTGAGGAGGCGCAGGCAGCTACTGGTGTCCAGATCTCTGAACGCCTTGGGCTCGGGGTGCTGTGGCTGGGGGCCTGTAGGAGACGGGGTGAGCGGGCGGTGGCAATCCTGGCCAGAACAGGGCAGGGCTCTGACTTCCCAGTGGGGAAATGGTGCCCATGCTGTTATGCTGCATTCAGCTGGTGCTCAATACATGCACACTCTGGTTGTGCCTTGGCTGACTGAAGATCTGCCCTGTGGGAGCAGAAGTGGGACTTTGCGGCACTGCTCAGGTCAAATAAGGAAGAACTTTCTAACGGCCGCCTCAGTGGAAGTGAGACACCCATCTCCAGAGGCATGGAAGCAAAGCCAGACGACCTCTGGCATGGAGGCAAGAGGCAGGGCTTCTGCAGCAGAGTGAGATGGAGCCAGACTTACTGGGCTTTGTAAGCCTCTGCTGGGCTTTCCTACGCAGTCACCGTGCCCCTGTCTGCTCTCCTTGTTCATTCATCAGACAATTCAATGCCAATCACTTTGGCACTTCCCACCCCTCCCTTGCCCTAGAGGCTTCCCGGGCTGTCTCCCCAGCCCAACCTCCAACGTGGACAACGTGGATACCTGGTGGCCAGGTCTGGAGCACTTGGGGCTCACTGGTGAGAGAGGTTGCTGGGCAGACCCCACGGTGGAGTCAGGGGCAGCCTTCTCCCTGGGTCAAGCTGTGTTCAATGCCAGGCCCCTGGAGCCAGAGGCAACTGCGTGCCTGGATGGGGCAGGTGGCACTAGGGGGCCACATGGACTCCAGATGGTAGAGATGTACTAGTGCTAGGTGCCAACCTGGTTTCCTTGGTGTTGAGTGGCCAGTGGGTGCAGAGGCAGGCTGAGTACAGGGTCTCCTCCAGGCACGGTGGAGTCTCAGAGGCTCCTGCACAAAGGCCCAGCGGGGGCAGGTGGCGGGGGACCCCTAGACGACATCCTGACCCCTTGCAGCTCCCAAGGCTCTTAGGAGAGCAGGCTTGGTCCTTCGCTGTGGCAGGGGCAGGGCAGGGGACTTGGCTTGCTCCTTTACTGAGCAGTGACGGCTCATGTGTCCTGAGCTTCACTCACTGCTCCCCAGTGCCTCATGATGAAGGCAGGGCCTTGGGTACGGTGCCCAGGTCCTCACTCTTCTAATAGGTCACTCCCTGCCTCCCACTGCGGGTGAGGAACTTCCCCGCCCAGCCGTGTTGGGCCTGGGTTTGGGCCTAGCCTGGGCTCAGGGACAGCCAGTCAGGTGAGTGGTGAGGCCGACCGGTGCACGCTTCTGCAGCATCTCACTCTTCTACGCCCTGTTGAGCTGTCCCGGCTGAGCATGTTCCACGGAGCCACTGGTCCAAGGAGAATGAGGAAATACAGGGAGCAGACCTGAACCCAACCTGCGGCCCGGGGCGGGTCCAGCCGAGCACAGCTGAGCCTGCCAGGGCCACTGCCCACCCACAGGCCTACAAGCAAGGAAACCACCATTTGCTGTCGTAAGCCACTTAGTTTTGGGGTGTTTTGTTATGCAGCAAAAACTGACTAATACACATGGGTACTATTATCATCATCCAATGCCACCAGTGGAGAAACAGGCTCAGAGAGGCCAAGTCACACCACCAAGGTCACCCAGTTCTCAAATGGCGGACTGAGAGTCAAGCTCAGGCAGTCCCGCCCCTCAGCTGTCGCTCAACCTGCAATTCCCCCTTCCAGGTAGAAGCCTGCGGAGCTCACCAGGCCTTTGGACAAACCTTCAAAATCAGTCTCTGGATTTGAAGGTTTCTGGGCAGACACCAGGACCAGATACATGTATTTGCCAAATGCCTCTCCTATTGCCCCGACCAGGATGGCTTCACTTTGTCCTTCAACACCGTGGTGGCCCCCAGCTGGACCTCGGCTGCGGCCTGCCTCCAGTCCAGCCTCCACCAGCACCTAGGGACCTGCTGACAGTGTCAATCTCACCCTACCACACTCTGTGGCTCCCTAGCACCGCAGGATCCAGTCCTGGCGCCTGGCATCTTACTGTGGTCCACAAGGCTCTGTGACCTGCAACTTGCACATCAGACCTCGCTTACACACTGACACACATGCATAGCCACACACTCACACACGCTCATTCACACACTGCCACATCCTCACCCACTCACATCACACACTCACACATGCTCATTCACACACTGCCCCATCCTCACCCACTCACGTCACACACTCACACACTTACACACCTCATTCACACACTGCCACATCCTCACCCACTCACATCACACACACACACTCACACACCTGCTCATTCATACACTGCCACATCTTCACCCACTCACATCACACACTCACACACTCACACTCACACACTCACACACACGCTCATTCACATGCTGCCACATCCTCACCCACTGACACCACACACACTCACACACTCACACTCACACACTCACACACACGCTCATTCACACACTGCCACATCCTCACCCACTCACACTCACCCACTTACACACTCACACACTCACAACTCACAATACTCATTCACACACTCCCACATCCTTGCCCACTCACATCTCACACACTCACACACTCATACTCACACACTCACACACTCATACTCACACACTCACACTCACACACATTCATTCACACACTGCCACATCCTCACCCACTTGCATCACACACACACTCACACACTGACATGCTCATTCACACTGCCACATCCTCGCCAACTCACACCACACACAAACTCACACACACACACTCACACACATGCTCATTCACACACGCCCACATCCTCATCCCTTACACGGATTCACACGCAGGCCCATTCACACACTCCCTCACCCACTCTCACACACTCAGATCCACACACTCACACACACTGATTCACACATTCACACTCCTATTCCCCACACGCCCTCACACACTCAACCCAGCTCCGGCCAGGCTGAGCTCTTGGCTCCTGGAGCTCCCGGGCTCCCCTCGCCTCCTAGCCTTTGTGGCCACTCTTCCTCTGCCAGGCGTCCTCCCTGGCCCTGCTCCTTCACCTGAGCTTGGCTGGTCACCTCCTCCTGGAAGCCTTCCCTGGCAGCAGCCCCCACACCCTGCACATCCGTCTTGTGTCTCAGCAGACACCCATGCCCTCCCTTCATGGTGACAGGAGCCCGTGCCCAGGACATAGCAGGAGTCCCTCATTGTGGGTGAATCACTGGTCACCACAGAGCATTGCTGAGAGGACAGCTTGGGCCCCAGCAGCCCCCAGGAGTGGGGAGTGGTCTCCTTTGGAGGGACTCTGCCAGACCCCGGTGTTCTGGGGCTCATGCAGGCCCAGGGGGCTGCTCCTGTATGTTTATCCTCAGGGTCTCTGCTCCCCGCCAGCTCCCTGTGCCCCCAACCAATGCGTCTGAGCCCTCCTTTCTCCCAAGGTACAGACACAACCTAGAAGATCTGTCCCCACTAAGATCCAGACGCAAGTGACAAATAAATGGAATCAGGATGTCTTTAGGCCAAGCTGCACTTTGCCACCATCAGCGGTCACAGGGGCAGCCATGGCCCAAGGGTTCCAACGACTGGGGGTGGGTTGCAGAAGGACAGTCCCATGACCCACGTCCTGGGGGACCTCTGGTCGTACGGTGGCCTCAGGGCAGTGGACTCTCAGGGGCCCTGCAGGCCCCTCTCCTCCCCACAGAGGCCCCTGGCCCTCCACCGACATCAAGGTACCTGGCCCTGGCAAGGGCAGGGCTGGTAGGATCTTTGGGCGGCAGGAGCAAGGGAGGGGCACGGAGGGTCCGAGGTGTCCCTCCACCGTGGGCCAGCCAGACACACGAGCATGTGGCCACCTGCACACAGCACGGGGCCTCACACAGAGCTGGGTGAAGGAAGCCAGACACCAAATAAGAAATTAGCTTGTTTGTTTCAAGCTGGACACAGGCAAAGGCCACCTCAGATATTGGGAGTCAGGAGAGGGGTGTGCGGGTGTGACTGGGATGGGCCCGGGGACGCTTCGGGCCTTGCAGGGGGCGGGAGTGCCTGCCCCTTGCCTGGTGGTGCTGACACAGACCATGGCTTTGTGACAATTTACTTATTCTCTGTACACTTCCCTGTGTATTTTCCGTATCTTGATGAAAAAAATAAAGGGTTGCACTTCAAAAGGAGGGTGGTTCCCCAGGCCAGCCCTTGGTGACCTGCAAGTCCCAGCTGCCTCCCCGGTGTTTGGGCTCCAAGCTGGAGCCATCCTCTCTGCCCTAAGACAGGGGTCCGGGTCTGGCCAGGTCTGTCAAGGCTACCTGCCTTCCCCATCTCCAGGCTGGGTCCAGAAACCTCTGTGGGGGCAGACGTGAGGACGGAGATGGGGGCACAGAAGAGACAATGCCCTGTGAGAGTGACCGGCCAGGGAGGAGACCCCTGGAATGGCGGGACAGAGCCTCCACCGGATGCTCCTGAGACAGTGTCCCGGCAGCTGCGGGAGAAAAGAACTCCCTGAGTCTATCAGTGCCCTGATTACCGTGGCTGACATCGGAAGAGTCCTGGTGCTGGGCACGAAAGCACGCTCAGGTGAGACTGAGTGTCTCCGCCGGGCTCATGTGTGTGGACGCGCACACGCATGCACATTTGTGCTTATGGATGCACATACGCAGTCGTGCATGTGTGTGTGCGTGTGCACGTGTCTGCTCGTGTGTGCACGTGTCCACGTGTGTGTGCGCCGTGTCCCTGCCCAGTTTACACAATGCACACAATTGCCTCCAAAGAAATGGGATGTTCTTTAGAAAGAGGATGCTTTTTTGCATTTCAATTGACCGCCTCAACAATGTCCGTTTAATTAGTGTGTTTTGAAGGGGAAATGAAGGAAAATTATAACTCATCCGAGAAAATGGCTTGTACGTGCTCAGCTCTTCTCGCGGGTTCCGGTGGAGCCGCCCCCTAGGTCCGGCAGAGCCTGGGCCCAGTGCCGTCCTCCCAGAGGAGGAAGGGAAGAGCTGGCATGGCATGGTCCCCGGGGGTGGGGGACACGGGGGACAAGGGCAGGTGGACGCTGCGATCTATCTGGTGGCCGGGCAGTGAATGGGCTCAGATACAGAAGCCGCAGGTACCACCCCATCCCCTGTGAGGCCGTGAGGCAGAAGCAGTGCGGTCCAGCAGAAAGAGGACAAGGGCTCACTCAAGACCTGAGTTCGAATACCGGTTCTGCCACCGTCATCTGCGAGAACCTGCCAAGATTCGGTTTTCTTGTCTGTAAAAACATTTGTAAAATGGTGCTGATGGCTGTGAACTCAATAAAGGGATGACCAAGAAAGGGCTTTCTAAGTTGTTGGTCTCAGAAGGATGTGGTAATAGGCATCTCGAAGGATCCAAGGAAAGTCCCACATTGGAGCTGCGGCTTGGCTGAGGCGGCTCCGTGGCCTGGGGCCTGGGCTCCCTGCGTACTCCTGAGTGCCTCCCGATTGCTCAAGACCGCCCTGAGCCAGCAGGTTCTGCCCTCACCCTGCCTAGGGCTCCTGCCTTGAGGCTGCCTCCAGCAGGGTCCTGAGTGCAGGAATCGGAGAGATCCACAAGCACAGCTCCCGGCCCCGGCCCTGGTCACACCGACACTGAGGGCTCCAGTCTCTTTTCCAACCCCCAGGCTCTGGGTTCTCCCCACTGGCCGCGTCGCCACCACCTGAGCTCTGGCCTGGGCTGGGGTGGGGAGACTTACTCTCCTCCCTACACCTGCCCATCCCCTCTGCTCCTCCGAGCTCCCCTCTGCAGAAGCCAGAGGTCTGTGGGTGGCTGTTGCATGACAGGCTCAGAAGATCAGGTCACGTCGAGGGGCGGCTCAATGTGAGGGTAGGGACAGTACGGGGGCTCCAATTCTGGAAGAGCTGGAGGTGGGAGGCAGTCTGCATTCCCAGGGTCCCCAGAACCCCTCCACTGACAACCCCACTGTCCAGTGAGGAAGGTTGCCCCTGCTCCAGCCTAATGGACCCCGTTCGCTGCCTAATGGAACTATGACTTCCCCATTTGAAGGTGGGGAAACTGAGGCCCTGCAACGTGGAACCACTGGCCGGCAATAGCACCCTTGGTAATGACAGGTCTGGGTTCAGGCCTCAACTGTCTGACTCCAAAGCCCCTTTGCTGTGTCATCAGGTGGGCAGCAAGATGTGGGGGCTCCCCGCAGAGCTGGGAACTAGCACACAGACTACCCCAAGCCACCGTTCCCATGTGTGCCCACCCCCCCGCCTTGCCCTCTGGCCCACTAAGCGTGAACGGCTGTGTTGCTGTGGCTGGCGTGCCCGTGCCGCCATACTGCCCCTCCCCGCCTCTGCTGCCAACCCTCCCAGCGCCGTGTGCCGACCGGGCCCGTACAGCTGCCTTCCCGGCCGCTGGCTTCCCCGAGCCCCATTGTTGGGTACCTGGGAGCTTTCCAGTTCTTTGCTGTATGAATAGCGTTGTTTTAACCATCTTGGCACGAGCTGCTTCTTTCCCCTCCCGCTCACGTTCTTTCCCTCTTGCAAGGGTTTGGGCACTTTCCCTGACACGTTCATTCTCTTACGCAGCCAGGAGCTGGCGGGACGCCTCCCAGGAGAAGTTGGCGGCCGACCAGGAGGCCTCGGTCTCCGCCTCTTGCTGCGGGTGAGCCTGTCCTGGGAGCGTGGGGCTCCTGCCTCCTTGGCGAGTGAGTGTGCCCAGCTCTGCGCCCATTGCTTTACACGCACATTGGTTCAGTGAGGCAAGAGCCAGTGTCCCCATTTCACACACGAGGACACTGAGGCTCTGAGAGGTTCAGCCATGACACAGAGGATGTAGGAGCAGCCAGACTTGACCCAGGCCAGTCTAAGCAGAGGCCAGGCTCAGTACCGAGACCCTGTCCTTGGGAGCCCCGTCTATACCCACCTGTCCTTGTGCCCACTGCCCTGGGTTCACCCCAGTCTCCTTGCTTCCCTGTCCCAGGAGGCAGGTCCCCCAGGAAACACAGGGGTCCTCCATGCCAGCCTGCGCCTCTCCCCACTCCCATCCTAAACTCCTTCCTGGGGCTGGCAGTGAGCCCCCTGACTGGGTCATCTGGAGGTGCCTCCTGTGAGCCACCCATCACACCTGCTCCAGGGCGGTCTGTGTGGGTGGGGACCTGAGCTCCATGGTGGGCTACAGGGCAGCACTGTGAGGAGCCATGTTGGGAAGCCCACGGCTCCCACTCCAGTGCCTCTGCCTCCCACTGTCCCCAGGCTTGGCAAGAGCTACTCGGATGGGCAGACAGGTGGACGGGTGGACAGATGGACCGGTGGACCAATGGATGGGTGGTGAGAGGATAGGCTGAGAGGCGGCAGGATGTGCCATAGAAGCCTTGGAAAGTGCCACACGTGCCCTGAGAGGCTGCATCTGCCAGGAAGGGAGTGCCCACCTGGACCCCATGCTCTGGTAGGTTGCAGGCCTTCTTGGTGATGGAATCTCAGCCCTCAACTGGACGTGGCAAGCCCAGGTCTCCCTACTTGCAGCCCGGCCCCTCCTGTACTGTGGCAGACATGACCGATCCCCCAGGGCTCGCCCTCCCACTGAGCCTGGCTCCCGGCCCTTCCTGGCACGCCGAGTCCCTCGGAGTTCCTCATGTGTTCTGGGATGGCAGGAGATGCCAGGGTGAGTTTCGGACATGTGAGACCAGAGGGAGCAGCTCTAGTGCAGCTCTGGACCCAGGCGGCAGAGGCTGAGCTCTGCCACCGCAGATCCGAGTTTCTGCTGAAAACCCAGGGGCTGAAACGCAAGTGTGCTGGGTGCCGCCAGCCTGGAGAGCGCACAAGAGGCCCTAGAGGAGTGGGGCCCAAATTCATTCTCTGGTTGCCCCCCACCCTCCCTGTCTCCTTCACTTCACTTTCCACAAACACTGGGAGTCAGTGTTCACCCTAAAAGGTCCAGGGCCACAGGGAGAGGCCCAGCTATGCGAGGGAATTGTTGGGGGGCTCTGGGCACTGCCCAGCCACGCGAGGGCATTGTGGGGGGCTCTGGGCACTGTCCAGCCACGTGAGGGCATTGTGGGGGGTTCTGGGCATCAGCGGGGATGCTTGGTCCCCATGTGTTTGTGCTGGTGCGTCCGGGGCGGGGCCTGGAAACCTGGCATTTTTCACAAGCAGGAGCAGGAGCTCTGGGGACCACCCCTACAAAAGCACAGCCCTGGGTGGTCGGCTCCCTGGGGCCCCAGGATAAGGTGCTGCTCTCCCACCATGGAAGGTGCCAACTCCTGGAGGAGCGAGCTGGCCATGGACATGTCCCCTGCAAAGCTCCCCTCGCCTCTGTATGTCCCCAGGACCCTCCAGCCTGGGGTGGGTGTGTCCTACTACAGAGTCCTCGCTTGAACTTCATGGACCTCAGAGTCCTGCAAAGACCCCCCACCAAGTGCTTCTCAAGGTGTGTTCCTGGGGTGGGAACCCACGCTGCTGCTGGACTCGGGGCCTTGTCTGTTCCTCCGGGTGAGCTGCACCTTCCCGACACTCTGCCCGCTGTGGGCTCTGTGAGCCTCACTGGACCTGTGTCTGTGTGTGTCTGTGTGTGTGTCTGTGGTGTGTGTGTGTGTGTTTGTGTGTGTGTCTGTGTGTATGGTAAGTGTGTGGAGTGTGTCTGTGTGTATTTGTGGTGTGTGTGTGTCTGCGTGTATGGTGAGTGTGTGGAGTATGTCTGTGTGTGTTTGTGGTGTGTGTCTGCGTGTATAGTGAGTGTGTGGAGTGTGTCTGTGTGTGGAGGGTATATGGTGTGTGTGTGGTGTGTGTGTCTGTGTGTATGGTATGTATGGTGTGTATGTGTCTGTGTGTGTGGTATGTCTGTGTGGTGTGTGTATGGTGAGTGTGTGGAGTGTGTCTGTGTGTGTTTGTGGTGTGTGTGTGTCTGCGTGTATGGTGAGTGTGTGGCGTATGTCTGTGTTTGTGGTGTGTGTGTGTCTGTGTGTGTGTCTGTGGTGTGTGTGTGTGTCTGCGTGTGTGTCTGCGTGTATGGTGAGTGTGTGGAGTGTGTCTGTGTGTATGGTATGTATGGTGTGTATGTGTCTGTGTGTGTGGTATGTCTGTGTGGTGTGTGTGTCTGTGTGTGTTGCATGTGTTGTGTGTGTGTGTCTGCGTGTGTGTCTGCGTGTATGGTGTGTGGAGTGTGTCTGTGTTTGTGGTGTGTGTGTGTCTGTGTGTGTGTCTGTGGTGTGTGTGTGTGTCTGCGTGTATGGTGAGTGTGTGGAGTGTGTCTGTGTGTGTTTGTGGTGTGTGTGTGTCTGTGTGTGTGTCTGTGTGTATGGTGAGTGTGTGGAGTGTGTCTGTGTGTCTGTGTGTGTGTCTGTGGTGTGTGTGTGTGCCTGTGTGTGTGTCTGTGTGTATGGTGAATGTGTGGAGTGTGTCTGTGTGTGTTTGTGGTGTGTGTGTGTCTGTGTGTGTGTCTGCGTGTGTGGAGTGTGTCTGAGTGTGTGTCTGTGTGTGTGGTGTGTGTCTGTGTATATGGTGTGTGTGTGTGGTGTGTGTGTCTTTGTGTATGGTATGTATAGTGTGTATGTGCCTGTGTGGTGTGTGAGTCTGTGTGTTGCGTGTGTTGTGTGTGTGTGTCTGTGTGTGGTGTATGTGCGTGTGTGTGTGTGAAGTGTCATGACCCATCTCAGAACCCTCACAAGGTAGAACCCAGGTATGCATATTTTAAAATTCTGAAGTCAGCTGGGCACGGTGGCTCATGCCTGTAATCCCTGCACTTTGGGAGGCTGAGGTGGGCAAATAACCTGAGGTCAGGAGTTCGAGATCCACCTGGCCAACATGATGAAACCCCGTCTCTATTACAAGTACAAAAAATTAGCCAGGCGTGGTCGCAGGCGCCTGTAATCCTGGCTACTCCCAAGGCCTGAGGCAGGAGTATCCCTTGAACCCGGGAGGTGGAGCTTGCAGTGAGCTGAGATCATGCCACTGCATTCCAGCCTGGGCAACAAGAGCGAAACTCTGCTTCAGAAAAAAAAAAAAATTATGAAAAAAAAATTCTGAAGTCTACCCCAATTACAAACCACTGACAATTCAGCCTCCTCATTGTTTTCATTTTATGTTATTTATTTATTTATTTTTAATTTTTCTTTAGAGACAGGGTCTAGCTCTGTCGCCCAGGCTGGAGTGCGGTGGTACGATCATAGCTCACTGTAGCCTCGACCTCCTGGGCTCGAGCCATCCTCCTGCCTCGCCTACTGAGTAGCTGAGACTACAGGCACACAGCATCATGCCTGGCTAATTCTTTTTTTTTTTTTTTTTTTTGTAGGCAGGGCAGGGGAGGTCTTACTGTGCTGTCCAGACTGGTCTTGAACTCCTGGCCTCAACAGATCCTCCTACCTTGGCCCCCCAAAACACTGCGATATACCTTCTGTTTATTGTTTTAAGAATGTCATATCGCTAAAGAGAAGTCATGAAAAAATCATGTGTAATCCAACGTCCTTAACACGTGAGTCTGTTCATTGTTTGCTCCTCAGCATCACTTGGCCCCTGCACCATCCCCCACCCCCAAACAGTGCTGTCAGTGAAGCTTGCACTTGGGGCTTGGCCTGGCAGAACGACCGCCCCCCAGGCTGCCTGCAGCCCCAGGGAAGTGAGACATTCTGTCCTGGGCACCGCCTCCCAGGTGGGGGCCGCTGTGCCGTCCGCTGTGGCTGCCCGCAGGCCGCCTCTCTGCCTGCCAAGCCGGCCACACACAGCCCTTGGCTCCCCCCGAAAGTCAACAGACCCGTTTTAGCAAACGTGGAAGCCACAGAAAAGCAGAAAGATGTCAACAAACTGCCCGTTCCCCGTTCCGCCCCAGCTCCGCCACCCTCTGGACTGTCCTTTTCCACGTTCGCTTTTACACAGTCCTAATAAAAGCACCCAGCCCGTCCTCCGAACCAGGGCCGTGCCCCAGGCCTCTCTCTATTCTCAGGACGACGTATGAACTGGGTCTTAATGATGATGCTCATTTCACAGATGAGGAAACTGAAGCGCCAGGACAATCTCACAGTGGCCCCGGGGTGGGAGACAGGGAATAGCTAGGGAGATGTGGCTGTGTGTGAACCCCGGTACCCTGAGCCCAGTTACCTGTGGGGCTTGTAGCCACAGTGGGAGGAAACACCTGGGAGAGACGATGAGCGAGAGGAGAGCGCAGGAGACGTCTGGGTCTCCTGAGAAGTTCCCGGGGCCCCAGGACCAGGCTGTGGCTTGGGCTGGAGTGTTTCAGAGTCCCTTGTGTGTCCTGGGATGGCAGGAGATGCCAGGGTGAGTTTCGGATAGGTGAGACCACAGGGAGCCGCTCAGTGTCACTTGTGCCTCAGTTTCCACATTAGTAAGGTGGAGCCAGTTGTCAGACCTACCTGGCAGGACCCTCAAGAGGACCCTATTAGTTCTGCTGGAAAGCACCCAGAGCTGTGCCCAGGTCAGGCGAGGGCACGCCGTGGCTCCTGCTGGAACTGAAAACGTGTCTTCGGCGGCCTCGCTGGAGCTCGCCACTGCCGCCCCCTCCACCCCGACTCCGGCGTCCCTACTCACTGAGGCCAGGTCCCTAGGTTTTCTCGCTCCTGCTGCAAT